TGATTAGCCATCATGCGTATGACAACAATCTGCAACAAGAGGTATATGGCAAAGTGGACTTGGAGAGGAGGGAAGAAAATGTGAAAAAATTGTTGTTGTTATGTGCCGTCGAGTCGTTTCCGACTCATAGCGACCCTATGCACAACAGCCCTAAACCCTGCTCTATCCTCCGCCAACCGCACCGCCTCTGACACACCCAGCCCGATTACCCCAGTCACCGAATCAATCCATCTCATAGAGGGTCTTCCCCTCCTGCGCTGTCCCTCCACCCTCCCAAGCATGATGTCCCTCTCCAAAGAGTCGTCCCTCCTGGCAACATGTCCAAAGTATGTCAGACGAAGCCCCAGAATCCTTGCCTCCAAGGAGTAGCTTGGTTTAATCCTCTCCAAGATCAATCTGTTTGTTTTCCTGGCAGTCCATGGTACATTCAGTACCCTTCTCCAGCACCACAGCTCAAAAGCATCCACTCTCCTTCTGTCCTCCCTAGTCATTGTCCAACTCTCTGATGCATAACAAGCGATTGCAAATACCATGGCCTGTATCAGGCTCACCTTAGTCTCCAGAGAGACACTGTTGCTCCTGAGTACCTTAGAGAGGTCCCTAACAGCAGACTTTCCCATCGCGATACGCTTTTTGATTTCCTGACTGCTGGTGCCAAGAGTGTTGACTGTGGAGCCGAGCAAACTGAAGCTGTGAACACTCTCAGTCTCTTCGTCATCCATCCTCACGCTGCCAATTGGTCCAGTGGCGAGAATCTTTGTCTTCTTGACATTGAGCCTCAGTCCATACTGAAGGCTGCAGTCCTTGACCCTTCGCAGCAAGTGCATGAGGTCCTCCTCAGTTTCAGCAAGCAGGGTTGTGTCATCTGCATAACGTAGATTGTTAATAGATCTTCCACCAATCCTGATGCCACAATTCTCCTCATAGAGCCCAGCCTCTCGGATAATCTGCTCTGTATACATGGTGAAAAGGTATGGAGACAGGATGCATCCCTGGCGTACACCCTTCCCAATTTTGAACCATGCAGTGTTACCCTGCTCTGTTCTGACTACTGCCTCTTGGTCCAAGTATAGGTTTCGTATTAGCACAATTAAATGTTCTGGGATTCCCATTCTTCTCAGAGTCAGCCACAGTTTGTTATGATCCACACAAAGGCCTTTGCATAATCAATGAAACACAGATAGACATTCTTCTGGTATTCTCTGCTTTCAGCCAAGATCCATCTAACATCAGCAACAATATCCCTAGTACCATGACCCCTTCTAAACCCAGCCTGGACTTCCGGCAGTTCTCTGCTGATGTGCTGTTCTAATCGTTTTTGGATGATCTTCAGTAGAATCTTGCTTGCATGTGAAATCAATGACACTGTTCTGTAGTTTCCACACTCAGTTGGGTCACCTTTCTTTGGAATGGGAACAAATATAGATCTCTTCCAGTCAGTTGGCCAAGTGGTTGTTCTCCAGATTTCTTTGCACAACTTGGTGAGCACATCCAGAGCAACATCTGTTATCTGAAATACTTCAATTGGTATACCATCTATTCCTGGGGCCTTATTTGAAAATCAATCTTTCTGTAAATTTCTGTTAAAATCATAATAAAAAATAATAAAAATTCAGGTAAGTGCTTTGAGATAGAGAAATAAAAGCAATAAACCAAAGTTTGAGGAAGAGGAGAAGATTAAAGAGCAACAGAAAAATAAAAGAGGCTATTTTGTAAGTTTTTAATAACTAACTTGTTTAATTGGAAGCAGGAATGGCATCTACTTCCTAAATAACATGCCTCTAGAAACTCTACGAACTTTGATAAATGTCAATGGTTGTAGAGGGGCTTCAGGCCTTCTGTTCATGGCATCTCTATGAGGCGTGCTCGAGTAAAAGGCAATCAACAACAATTTTTTTTTATTTAAAAAAAGCAATTAAAAAAATTTAATAACCTACCCCCAAAAAACTGTGTGATACTGTGGATGTCACTTGTTTACTCACTTATGTTAAAGACTTCTGCTGATACTAGAACTAATATTTCATCTAATTTGTATGACAACAGTAAACACCTTAGTTCAAAATGTGTGGTGATTAAAATAATTTGTAAAAACTTGGGAAACAATAGGAGCTGGTTTGTCAACTTTAATCTCTTCATTTTATATGTTACAGATATAGAACAAAAGGAAGAAAGTCAAATGGTTCTAATAACCAAGAAAAACGTATATTAAATTTTAATATATTGCATTTCAGCAATCTTTATTAGTTATATTTATGTGCTGGGTGCATTGGTAGATGATGCTCACAAATCAGAGAACTTGAAAGCTAAGGATCCCTGAGGAGTGTGATACTAAAACTTGTTTGAAATACTTGGCTCTATTTAAAACATAGAGGTGGAAAGTTTCCCAAGTGAAATGGCATTGTTTACAATGTATATATTCTCTAATAAGAAGGCACACTAGCATAGCAAAAAATATTGGACACAAAATTCAGAGTTACTCTTATCAACAGAGAAAGATTTGATTACAGAAACGATCTCTGCAGGGTAAGTATATCCTGGACTACCTGATTTTTAAACTAGACTACCTGAGTTTTAAAATATTTATTCTTAATATCCTCCCAAATGAAAACTAAGTTTTCTTTTTTTTCTCCAAAGTATTTTTAATACATATCTATTAATGTTGGAGTACTATATGCGTTATTTAATTGTATTCACAGGAAAGAAGAATTTTTACGCCCAACCAATCGCAGGAATATCTGGGCACATACACAGATTTTCACATACTAACAAAAATTGTATAAGTTCACAGATATACAGGTTGGAAAAGATCTATTTTCACAGCGCTTCAATTTTGTACTAATATTTTAAAATTAATTCTAAATTTTGCTTTGTTCCAACATTTGACTGAAAACAGTAAAGTACAGAAGTATCATTCATTTAAATTAATGGGAATAAGTACATTCCAATTTGAAGACAAAAATAAAGTTATACTGATTTTTATATGCATATAGAAATTCCAACTCCTACAAGTTTTGCTGTGTATCTTTTTAACAATTTTAAAGGAGACAAATTAAAAAATATTCATTTAAATATAATTTTTTCATATAACTTTGGAATTTATGTGTCTTGATGTCTGAAGTATCATTCAAAAATAAAATATATTGTTTCAAAATTTTATTAGTTTTGCTTGTCTTTTCAAAATCAATGTTATCATTAAGATATCTGAAATAGAAAAGGTAAGAGACCTAATGGCAAGATGAGTTACATTTTAGGCTGTTATCAAATAAGTTTGTTATTACTTATTGTTGGATGCTTTTGAGTCAGAAACAACCCATGGCTAACCTTACAGTGAGCTTTCAGAGGCTGTAAATTACATGGGAAGAGATTGATAATACTTCTGATAAATGATACATTTTGGTATTATAATTCAGCCTCTTACCACTAAACCAACAGTTCAAATTCACTAGCTACTCTAAAGGAGAAAAATTTGACAGTCTGCTTTTGTTAAGATTTGTAGACTTAGAAAGTCAATGAGGGTCACCATTAGCCAGAATTTTCTTGACAGTAGTGAATAATAGGAGTTTGGTTCGTCTTTCAATTGAGACCAAACTCAGTTTATAGTTCAGTAATACTACTTTATAACGATATGACTTAGGAAATCAGGTGTTCTCATTTGTAAAATTTCAGTTAAGTGTTATGTGATAGCTAAATTGCTTTGTAAAGTACTTAGTGTTGTTTTTATCATTGAGTTGGGACCCAGCAGATTTTCAGAGACAGTAAATCATATGGGAAGAGATTGCCCATCTTTCTCTTGTAGAACCACTGGAGGACTCAAATCATGTACCTTTGGTTTGGCAGCACCGAGAAAATAATATGTACTAATTAGTCAACCCTTAATGTCTCGGTTTACATTTATAGAGAATGTACTTTAAAAATGAAAGATAAAGAGGAAAAGGAGAAGAAAGGAATAAATGGAAGGAAAAAAGAAAATAATGTCTTTAGTCTATTGGCTAAAGAAAATACTTATTCCTCTTAGGGGAATTAAACTAACACAGCAAAATTGTTCAAGGACAAATGAAATGAGAATTTCTATTTTCTCCAGGGAAGAATAGTTAGCAGTAAGATCAGCTTTATGCATACGTCCTTTAGTTTCAAAAAAGTACTCTGTTCAGTGAAATACAAAGATCGCAGATACATATCCAAAACCTAAAAACCCACAACTGTCAAGTCTACTTTGACTAGTAATAGCAATCCTCCACTGGGTTTCAAAGGTTGGCTATTCTAATTGGAACATATTGCTGAATTTTTTCTTCCACAGAATGATTGCTGGGTTCCAACCACTGACCTGTTCCTTAAGTAGCCAAAACCTTATTCTACTGTGCCACCAGAGCATTATGGAAACTATCTTTTATGAGCAAATTAAAAATGCAAATAGTTTCAAATAACAGAAATGTATACTCAGTGTCTGAGGTCTCCCATGGACCATAAACATCTTCTTGTAAATAATTTGATGAAAAGTTCTTTACAATATTTGTGTAAAATTTCTCTCTACACACACATTTCCACTGAATAGTCAACATCTTAATGAGATAATGTTTTGTATCAAAATGTCCAATTAAATTATGGCCTGGGGTCAATTACGGTTTAAAAAAATTTCCAAATCTTTCTTAGAGTTTGAATATTGAGACTGATTTTTCCTAAATCAGGAGAACACACTAAAATCTTGGACAAATTGATTAAGTAGGATATATTAATTTTATGTGTAATAAGAGGACTACTTTTGATATTTAAAAATACTGTTTACAGTTGTACTGTTAAGACTGTGGTCTTCCCTTTTAAATGTGTATGTCCTTTGTAATAAACAGTTATTATTTATCATTTTAAGCTTTATATGATGTTAATATTTCAGGAGGGTTTTTTGTTTGAGAACCATTATTTACTAACATCTGAAAATTGAATTCTTTTTCCCTTGTAGAAATTCTCCATTGTTCTTTGGTTCTCATTACAACAAACGAAACTAAATGGAAGAAGCAAACCAATCTGTAGTGTCTCTGTTTGTTTTTAGTGGACTTTGTAAGTCAAAGGAATTGCAAACCATCCTCTTAGCACCATTTTCTATACTCTATGTGATAACTGTTGTGGGAAACCTTTTTGTCGCATTTTTGATCATCTCTGACCCTCATCTCCACTCCCCTATGTACTTCCTCCTGGCCAATCTCTCATTCATTGACTTCTGCCTTTCCTCAGTCACCACACCTAAACTAATCACAGACTTTTTAAAGGATAACAAGACCATCTCCTTTTGGGGTTGCATGAGCCAGATTCTCTGTGTCCACTTCTTTGCTGGTGGTGAGATGGTGCTGCTTGTGACAATGGCCTATGACCGTTATGTGGCCATCTGTAAACCACTCCATTATGCTAGCATCATGAACAGACAAAAGTGCCTCTGGCTAGTTTTGATATCATGGATCACTGGCTTTGTGCATGCACTGAGTCAGCTAGCAATAGTTATGGAACTGCCATTCTGCGGACCCAGAGAAGTAGACAGCTTTTTCTGTGATATCCCTTTGGTAATTAAACTAGCCTGCAAGGACATTCATACTACAAAAGCACTGATAAATGCTGATAGTGGGTTCTTGGCCACAACCTGTTTCATTCTTTTGCTTGTCTCCTACACTTATATCCTGTTAGTTGTTCGCCTTCATGCTAAGGATGGGGCATCAAAGGCACTCTCTACCTGCACATCCCATATCACAGTGGTTGTGTTGTTCTTTGGACCCTGCATTTTCATCTATCTGTGGCCTCTCAGCAACACTTGGGTAGACAAGTTTCTTGCTGTGTTTTACACAGTCATTACACCTCTCTTGAATCCAGCCATTTACACACTGAGGAATAAAGAGATTAAAAATGCCATGAAGAGACTAATAAATCAGCAGCAGGTGGGTTCAAGAAATAATTTTTAGATATTTCAAGGTATCAAAAAATCTGTCTTATATACTGCACTTTTATTACACTTTGAACTTTAAATAAGACTAAAAATCATATCTTGTTCATATCTGTAAACTAAGAGCATACATATATATATTCAGTTTGCTTTTTAAAATATTTATCCAATCTAACTTATTTATGGATTCCTGATGTCTAAGTGTTAGGCAGCTAATCAAAAAAAGTTGGCAGTTCAAATCTTCCAGTCAGTTTGAGAGAGAAAGATAGGCAATGTCCTCCTGTTAGCTGATAAACCTTAGAATGGATAGAGGGTCGCCACAAACCAGAATCTGTTTGCAGCCATTGGATTTTGTCAATTCTAACTGAGCTAAAGAAAATACGAGAGATAATTGTGTGATCAGCATCCAATTAGAAGAAAGATAAATTACTTTAAACATAGTCCTAATGTCTTTGTGTTCTACATGCATAATCTCTTTAATTCAAGCCTTCAAGTCTTAGCTATTTTTCAAGGACTGAAACTCCCTGGATACTTTCCTTACACACATAGAAAAACATTTTGCAAATGCTTTGAAACATAATTTTTCTCATTTTAAAAAGAGAACTTTAAGAGTAGGAAAGCATGCCTTGCTAAAAAACAGATTCATTTAGACTGATGGTAAGAAAGTCAGAGAGTAACTATCAATAGGAATATGTCAATGAATTGGCCTGTGTTTATTCATTGCAACCCTCAGGTATGCTGTATGGCTCTCACCTAAATATCTAGCTAATTTCTTCTTGCTGAGGAGTATCTCACCTTACACAATGAACAAATAGAAAATGTGTATTTTTTTTAGACATGGGCATATAATATTTGATTACATGCAAGAGAAAAGCATATGAAGTTGAAGAAAGACTAGTACAGTTTGTATTATTGCTACTAGGGTAAAACTGGGCAAAATAAGTTACATGAACATTGTATAATTTTGTTTTTCATTTCATTTGGAATTTATTTACCATTTCATCTAATTGAACTGAAATAACATATTGTCTCCAACACTGGCCACACAATGTCCTAATACTGAAAAAATCATTGCTAGTCAGTCAGCTAGTACTTATGATCATAACTCTTCAGAGCATGTTAATAGAAATGCTAATAATTATTAATCTTTACAAACTTCTACACTTCATATGGATATTTTTCCTTGAAAGGTATTGCTATATCAGCAAGATTTGCCAATACTGGCTTTGTTCTTTTCTTAAAAAGAAATACATAAACCATTATTAAGCTCACCTATGTCAGAGTAGATTGTGACTTCGGCGAGTTTCCAAGGTTCTAAATATTAATGGGAGAAGACTGCTGGGGGAACCTAAATAGCCAAGACACTAAGCCTTGTTAGCAGTGTACCATGCTACAGGTATGCCACCAGAGCTCCTTGATTATCACTCCATACACTTTACATTAAGAGTGTGAAGATTCAAGAAATACTTTTTAAAAAACTCATCTTGGGCAACACTGAATGAATATTTAAAAAATAAAAGTGAACTGGGGGAAGGGGAGGGAGGTAAAATGTACAATCATGAATGAATGAAAATCTAACTTTTCTGTAAATGTTCATTAAAGTCACAATTAAAATTAAAAAATTTATTTAAAGAATGACTCATCTCCATTGATTGTAGCCATTCTAAAGTGGAGCCACAAATTCATGGTGTAAGGATTCTGAGTGAGGGGAAGTTAAGTGAGTGAGACGAAAAGTGAAGACTCAAGGATTTGAATTAGGCTTTTGCTAAAACCATCATTTAAGTACCTTTCAGGGGTCTATCTTGGATTCCAGGCATATGTCACTTTTTAAAGAAAAGCATCTTTGGCTGTAAAATACACTCAAGACTAGCATGTTATTTCAAATTCTAAAGGAGAAAATTCTAATACCATAAAGGAAGGCTCAGAGTCCTTCAAAGTATCAGATCCACTAATTTTTTTTCGGAAGAAAAAGTACAAAACACAGAACATGCAATTTTTTTTCTTTATGAGGAAATTCAGTCTGGCATATTATCTTGATAATCTGGCATAACACAATAGCTTTTTACATCCCACCCTTTAAAACATTTCTGAATGACAATGATCAACAATCAATAAACAATCATCTCATGCTGTGTTTTTGAACAATGATATACTTGAAATAGAATTTCTGTTATATTATATATAAAACACATAGAGTCACTATAGATACAGTAAACAGTAGCATACTGATTCATCACCTTCAAACAGAGTAGAATAATAGACAACATTCAAGTGAAGTTTTTTTAGCTTCTAATTCATAAACAATCTCTCATCTCTTTGAAAATCAAAGAAATCTATGACAATGATAAGACAAGGAGGTGACTGAACCATCTGAAAATTCAATGAGCCTGATCAGAATCAATTTGACAATTGTAAATTTCAGTTATCTGATTATTTGGATAATTGAGTATAAAAGTCAATAACTAAAGTAAGGACCATATCTGTCTAAGAATTTAAAATAATAATTTTCATCATTCACCAAAGAAACCTACCAACATCATCCTATCAGCAGTGAGACATGCTTCATAATGCATTAACTCCTATGGCTTTTGATACAACACCAGCTGCTCCCAGTTTGTCTCTTATGAGCTTATTTATTTTTACTTTATTCTGAGGTCTCTGATCCACCTTTAGTTGATTTTTGTATTTGGTATGAGGTGTGGATCCATTTTCAGCTATCTACAGTAGCAGTATAGTTTTCTGAGAATCATTTGTTAAAGAGGTTATCAGTCCCCCATTTCATAGGTTTTATTTCCTTGTTGAATATCAGTTGAGTGTAGATAGATGGGTCCATCTCTGGGTTCTAAGTTCTGTTCCATTGGTCTATGTGCCTATCATTGTACCAGTATCATACTACAATATAAAGGGACTGTCAAATACAGCCAGAAATATACAATCTGAAGATGATAAAATCGATGAATGGAACCATCTAAAGATTAAATCTCTGTGCTCATCAAAAATTTTTTCCAACAGGGTAAAAAGAAAACCTACTGACTAGGAACAAATATTTGGCAATACCATCTCAAACAAGGGTCTCATAATGAAAGTTTACTAAATCCTACAGGGCCTCCAGAAGGAAAAAAAAAACAAACAAAACTTATCATCTAATTACAAAATGGGCAAAAGACATGGAAAGACTTTTCACAGAGGAGGAAATTCGGGTGGTCAACAGACACATGAAGAAATCATCCAAATCACTGGCAATAAGAGAGATGCAAATCAAACCCACAACGAGATACTATCTCATTCCAGTAACAGTGCGAAGTTTAGCAGGAAAGCAAGTAAGAAATGTTGGAGAGGATGTGGCAAGATGGGAACTCTTCTACATTGTTGGTGGGATTGTAAAATGGTACGACCCCCCTGGAAGGCAGTTTGTTGTCTCCTCAACACCTTAGTTTCTGGTTTCAGGAACACCAGGTTAGAATCATGATTTCTTGGGGTGTGCTCTCTATGCTCACATTTCTAAAGTGAGCAGTGGCAAATAAATCTTTATGTCTAAAAATTAAGAGATGGGTCATGATATTGACATAACTTATTAATCATTATAATACATTTTTATTTACTATAATATAAAAACAAGAAATGCAAACTTTCTTAAGAAATATTTGCAGAAAGTTATATTTTCTAAACAACATCACCACCACTCAAACTGGTATGCGAATTTAGGGTAGCTCCTGAGAATATTTCTAGATAATAAGAGCTCAACTGTGCTCATTAATAAAACCTTTAGTGATGTTATTGTTGTTAGGTTCCTTCGAGTCAACCACAACTGACCCTGTGAATAGTAGACTTGAACTTCGCCCTATCCTGTCCCATCTTCGTACCCCTCATATATTTGAGTCTGTTGATACATCTCCCATGTCAATCCATCTAGTTGAAGGTCTTCCTCTCTCTCACTGACCTTCCAACTTTCTAAGCGTTATATCCTGTTCCAAGGATTGATCCCTTCTAACAATATGCTTGAAGGATATGAGATGAAGTTTCTTCATCCTTGCTTCCAAGGAGCACCCTGGTTTGTTCTTCTGGCAGTATATAGAATATACTTCTCTAACATCACACAGCTCAAAGGCATCAATTCTTCTGTCAGTCTTAGCCACTTGTCAACTTTCATTTACATGCTCATATTATTGTTGTTTGTTGTTTGTTTAATGCCGTCGAGTCGTAGGCGACTCATAGCGACCCTATGAACGAACAGCCTGAGCACTGTTCGTACATAGAGTTTCCGGAGGCAAGCCATTTTGGAAGTGGATGCCGCTCATATTATTAGGTACCATCAAATCAAGTATGACTCACAGCAATCTTATAAACAACAGAGGTGAACTCTGTCCTATCTTGTGCCATCTCATCATCATCTCTGATACCCTTGAGCTCATTGCTGTAATCACTGTGTTGGGTCTTCCTCTCTTTTGCTGACCCTCTAATTTTCCAAGAATGATGTCCTTCTTCTAGCATATGCACAAAGTTGTGAGAGAAAACTTCCAAGGGGCATTCTGGCTGCATTTTCTCCAAAACATATCTGTTCATTCTTTCAGCAGTCCATGGGATAGTTAGAAGTCTTGACCTAGTGGCAAGAAGCTGCTCTGCAATCCTGAAGGCACACAGTTTGAGGCCACCAGTTGCTCCATGGGAGGATGGGCATTCTCTTCCCACGTGATTAATTGGCTCTGAAAACCCACTAGCAGGTCAGCTATTGATTGGTTCTGACTCGATGGTACACAACAACTTCTCCAAACCACAACTCAAAGGCACCTATTCTTCTAACATCCTTATTCATTGTCCAGCTTTCTGATGAATAGTAAGTGATTGAAAAGACCATAACCTGAATCAGACATACCTTAGTCCTCAAAGTGATATCACTGTTTCTCAGTCATTTGGAGACGTCCTTGATAACAGACTTCCCCTGTGCAATACATATCTGACTGCTGGCATCTAGTATATTGATTTGGATCCAAATAAGATTAAATCATTGACAGGTGGGGAAGAGACTATGGCTTAAATATCACTTACCTTAGGGTTTAAACTGACATCTCTGCTCCTCAACAACCTGGAGAGGTCTTGACAGCAGACTTCCCCAGTGCTATTTGTCTTGTGCTTTCTTTACTCCTGTTGCCAAAGGTATTGAAGGTGGATCCAAGCAAAGTGAAATCATTATTCTCTTCAATCTTTTCTCCACCTATTGGACCAGATTGGACCAGAGGTGAGAATTTTTGTTTTCTTGATGCAGAGATGGAGTAGTTAAAATCCACTAGTGGTTCAGAGGGAGAAAGATGAACAGTCTCCTTCTGAAATATTTATAGCTTTCAAAAACCCACTAGAAAGCCAGCTATGACTTGGTTCTCATTTGCCAGAAATCAGTTTTGAATTTGATTGACTTACTGTTACAAAATGACCTCTTGATTGAGTTTTATCAGATTACAAAATGAATTCTTGTAGATTACAAAAAGAAGTCTTACTGTCCATCTGGTTTTTAAGCACATGAACTTGATTTCCTTTATTATTAATTAATTCATAAAGAATTAAAATAAACTTAAACTTTCATAGAACCATTAGTGGAGCTGATTTTTGTGTATGGTGCAGATCCTGCTTCAGTTTTCTGCAGGTAGTAATCCTGCTTTCTGAGCAACATGTGTTGAAGAGGTTGTTATTTCCCCATTTGATAAGGGGTTTTTTCCTTGTCAAATATCAGTTGACCATAGATAGATGGATTAATTTCTGGGTTATCAATTCTGATCCATTGGTCTATGTGCCTATCATTGGACAAGTACCATGTTGCTTTGGTTATTATAGCTGTGTAGTAGGTTTTGAGATTAGAGAGTACTATGCCATTTTAGCTTTTCAGACGTACTTCGCTTATTTGAGATCTCTTTCTTCTTCAAATAAACTTGCCAATTACCTTTTCTGTTTCTTCAAAAAAATGAATTTTTTATCTGTATTGGATTGTGTTTAACATGTAGATTGCTTTTGGTAGGCTTGTCACTTTCACTATATTGAGTCTTCCTATACATGAACAGCTCTGATGGCCTAATGGCAAGAACCTGTGCTGCAATGCTTAAGGCACACAGTTTGAGGCCACCAGCTGCTCTGCAGGAAAAGGATGGCCAGTCTCCTCCCATGTGATTAACTGCTTCTGAAAACTTGCCAGATGGTCAGCAATGGATCTGTTTCAACTATATGATAAAGAACAACAATTCATGAACACGGAACATTTTTCCATTTATTATGGTCTTTTATTGTTTTTGGCAGAAGTGTTGTATAGTTTTGTTGGGTTTTTTTTATAAAGGTCTTTTATATCTCTGGTTAGGTTTATTCCCAAGTATCTCAGTTTGTTGTTGGCTAATGTCAATGGTATTGATTTCTTGGTTTTCTTGTCTGTTTTTTCTTTGTAATTGTGGAGGAATCCCTCTTACTTTTGTATATTGATCTTGTATCCTGCCACTTTATTAAACTGGTCAACTAGCTCTAACAGATTTTTTCTGTTGAGTCTTTGGGGTTTTCTGTGTATACTATCAGATCATCTGCTTATAGGAACAGTTTCACCATCTCTTTGCTGTCTCTTATTTCCCTCTCTTGCTGTATTGACCTAGCAAGTACTTCCAATACAATATTGAATAGGAGTGGTCCAGTTCCCAAATATTATTCATACATCTTGATTCTATGTCTAATCATTTTAAAACTACAAAAGTTGGTACAAGTCCTCAATTTCTTCCTCTTTGTCTTTAGAACTTGGTGGATATATTTGAATAAAAGTTCTGTTTAATAGGTCTTCTGTTTCAGAATATTTAGAGTAGTATCCTATCACTAACAGCATTGTACTTCAGTATATATTTTGAAATGTTAACCTTATGATGAGTATGATATTATTTTCTTCAAATTGTTATTTGACATAGTAGGTCACATTAGCCTGTAAATTTTTACTGAAATGAATAATAAATTTAAATTTTTAAGCAAAACAAAAAACAAAAAAAACAGCTAAAAAATGTAGAATATACTGGGGGTGGGAGGGTGTGTGGGGACTGTATACTAATGAAGGAGTTTTTCTTTTGCTTTTCAAGGAGAAGAGCGAACTAGGGCAGGGAGAAAAATGCACCAGTGAATGAATGGAAATCCAAAATCTCTGTAAACATTCATTGAAATTAATTAAAAAAGCGTAATTTAAAAAATGTAGAAAATACAAGAGATTTTTTTTATTTGTGTTTTATTGACTATGCAGAGGTATTTAACTGTGTGGATCATAGCATATTCTAGATAACATCGAAAATAATGGAAATCCCAAAACACTTAAAGACACTCATGTCAATACTATTAAGTAGATCAAGAAACAGCTGTTCCAACAGAGGAAGTGAATATTTTGCTTAAATGTGTTTGAAAGCATAGTTTAAAATCAAGAATGGTGTGCATCTGAGTTATACCCTTTCTCCTTACCTATCCAATCTTTTGCCATTATCTTCCTCAAAGCTCTTGGACTCAGAGCAATTAAGGAGCAGAACAGAAGAAAACATTTTTTTAAACCATCTCCATTTCAGGCCCAAGGACCACAGGCCCTTGTGCCAAGTGCGGAATGCCACGAAACAGCATACAGCCAAGACATTGTCTTCACCTGGGATATTATCCTGCTGTACCAGCTGGGTCCAAAGCTGGAAGGATCCAGCAATTACCCAGGGCTCATCTTGACACGCTACCACTGTTCTCAGATGGACTCTGATTCATGATTTTTAATGTGCGTGATTTGAAGCTCAGAAACAAAGACTCCAGAACTGCCGGACAGAGAAAGACTTCACTTAGTGCTGGTACCTGGCACTTTAATATGGAGCCTCCTAAACTATGAGATTTATCTATCAGTTTGTTGTATTGGGAATTAACCGGCATTTACTTTGTAGCTTGGGTATTCTTCCTTATTTATCATTATTCTAATTAGTATAGCATTTGTCTGACAGCCTGTTGTACTATAGTAACTTGTGGTTTGCTGTGATGTTGAAAGCTGTGTCACCAGTTTGTCTAATGCCAGAGGAGTCACCTATGGTGGACA